ACAATAGGCAATGTCCTTTCGCTTGAGTGTACGAGTACGCCGTTTGTACGGTGCGAAGATATTTTAAATTATACTTCTCTCCAACACAAAAAGGTTTATTCCCGTCAAATTTGACGGGCCATACTATAATAAAGGCGAAAGAAGGCCAATTAAGTATGAGGTATGCAAAATAACAAATGAAGCGTGTGGAGCAAATTTTAAACTTTTTTTAAATTATACAAATCTGTGAAAGCTTTAAGATATATGCCTATTCGAGAACTGAAGTCTGTATGGACGTTTTAATGACAATCTTTTGGCATGGGCTTCGGAAGATACCGAGAGTTCAGAAAACTTTCTTCCGTCGCTGCTTTTTCCCTGACAATGCATCGCACGTGCCTCAGTCAACGACTGAGATGTATAACTGTAGTGACAGAAATGATCTTTTCTGTCGTCTGAAAGTTGAGGACAAGGTCAATGAGCAGACACAATTCTTTTGTTGCACACAGGTGCCAAGACGACGACGCGACTGAATTAAAAATCCCACAAAACTGTCGTCTCTCTGAAAGGAATCTCATACTTCTACGACTCCTACAAGCGTGTTCCGAAAGCAGCATTTCAATCACAGCGTCTTATACGCAAGTGATTCAAAACTTTTTTTAATCGCAGACTGATAAAATAGCATTTTGTTTTATGAGGACAGGTACTCGACATGTCTGATCTGTTTGTAAATTAGTTTGTACATTTGTAAGATTTGAGGTTTTCACAGCGGCGAGGATGAAGATTTCTGTCTTCTGGGGTGTTGCGCTCTGTAGTCTGGTCGATGTCAACCAACGTTTCAGAGGTCATTCTGCCTCCATCATCAGGGCGATGAGGATGAAGATTTCTGTCTTCTGGGGTGTTGCGCTCTGTAGTCTGGTCGATGTCAACCAACGTTTCAGAGGTCATTCTGCCTCCATCATCAGGGCGATGAGGATGAAGATTTCTGTCTTCTGGGGTGTTGCGCTCTGTAGTCTGGTCGATGTCAACCAACGTTTCAGAGGTCATACTGCCTCCGTCATCAGGGCGATGGAGTATGAAGATTTCTGTCTCTGGGTTGTTGCGCTGTGTAGTCTGGTCGATGTTTACCAACGTTTCAGAGGTCATACTGAAAGAAAACTGAACAGGCTGCTGAATACATGACGATATCCAGGTGTTCACATGAAACTCTATTTTATATACTTAAAGCTTATTCCTGCTAAATTGTGTTCATTACATGATAATATTCTGGAGTGCAGGATATTAGAAATGGAATCTCTTACTATTTGCTATTCATCAACCCGACCTTGAGCAGTTGATAACATCCAGTTAATAAAGACGTTCAGATTTGAACACATGGTAGTGTGGCCAGCATATTCTTTATTTATCATCAATCGTAACACTCTTGGATTCATTTCTGCTACACTCATGCTGCAAAAACTGAAGGAAGGAAAGCAGAATAAGAAGAAATGTTAATATATCTGTTATTCAATTAACCGTCTCCAAACAAATCTCAAAAGGTTATTGAAACCCATAGTTCTGTGATTGTCGTCACAGAGGACTGCACTCCCCATATTCCAAAAGAAATTTATCCCTGGCCATAACAAGCACCGTTTGTTTCCATGAGACCTGGCGACATGTTACAGCACTCCAACGTATGACTATGCCCCCAATCCAGACAAGCAGTGGATCCTGCAAGTAACACAGAGAATGCAGCCCATCCACAGACAGTTTACTGATCTTCTTATGACCAAGCGGTTGCAGACATTGCAAAGTGTTGATGATGCAGTTGAAAAGGTCAGTGTTATTTATTTACTATTCACCAACTTTCAGCAATTAAATTAGGACCAAATTAGCCATAATATCTCTGTTAGGGAATTCAGGCCACATAAAATTATTTTTTTAAAAAGTATTTGATTTGATTTTGTCACAGAAATAGAATGAACATCTTCTAAGATTTATAATTTTAATTTGAAACATATTTTGATAATCTTAAAATATATTTAATATGTATAATGAAGCCGGTCGCAGTGGCCACGCGGTCTGAGGCATGGACCTCGTGTGCCTGGCCACTGGGACCGTGGGTTCGAGTCCCACTCGAGGGATGGATGTCTGTCCGCATCCTTTCTCTTCCAGTTTGATGGATAAAGACTGGCCACGGAAGGCAAGGCGAAACCACCGTGGTATCTTCGCAAGAAATAACTTGAAATGGGGTTGCGGACCAATCCTAGGATTGATAACAAAAAAAATGTATAATCAAGTATGGAAAAATAATTTTTTTCCATGTATGCAGTATACTATCTGTATCTTGGATTCGTTTTATGAAAATAAAATTATGGCTGTACCATTGTTTAGCTCTCAGAGTAGTTAACTGTGAGTCTTACATTCAATTAGAATGGACTTTCATGGCACATGATACATATTAAATTAGGTCAGTGTGAACAATGTTCATGGCTTGAATTTATCCTGGAGTCAACAGTGGAAGAATTGCAGTAGGCTATGATTGCTTCCTCTCATGGCACTTTTGATTTGTCATGCACAGTCTTCGGTCAGTATGTCATTCAGTGCCATGTAACCTGAACAATTGTAAGCTAACTATCCAATGCAGATTCTTATTTGTATTCTTGCACTTTTAGATTTTTCAAGAGCTGAAAGAGCTTGGTGAGCTGGACAACACGTACATCATATACACATCAGACCATGGTTACCATCTTGGTCAGTTTGGCCTTGTCAAAGGCAAATCATTTCCCTTTGAGTTTGATGTCAGAGTCCCATTTCTTGTTCGAGGCCCAGAAATTGAACCTGGTACAATGTGAGTATAAAACATAAAATATTTTGTATTTTAGTTTCCCAAATAACTACTGTTTAGTGATTATTTCAGGTTAAGGAACCCTGTTTGGCTGATATAGAAAAACAGTTTTTATGTCAGTATTCTGTAACAAAAATGTATATTATCATAATTCTTGAAACAATGAATTTCAGCATTGATGACATTGTTCTGAATTTGGACCTCGCTCCGACATTCCTGGACATTGCAGGAGTTGAGATCCCTGTTCATATGGATGGCAGGTCATTTCTTAAACTGCTACATCGCAAGTAAGTAAATTAGTAGGACATCAAATTCAACCTTTGATATGTTTACGAGTGGGCCAAATGTTTGAATTAATGAACATGTAAATTATTTAAATTAACTTCAGCTTCTCTTCATATTCACCTTTGTTTGTTTAATTTTGTAACATCTGTCATGTGTTATTATTCTTGATCAATTCAAGGACTGTATAGTTTTGGATATTCTTTACTTAAATATATAAAACCATGCAGTCATGAAGTGTATTAATTCTCAGAAAATATTATATTTTTTTCTACCTTTACTTATGTTGCTTTAATACTACCTGGTTTAGAAAACAAATACAAATGCTATCTAAATTTCAGATTTAAATGTAAAGAGGGAAAAGAAACCAACTTTTGATTGCTTACATATTTAGTAACTTTTGTAGTTATATATCAAACAAATTACAGTATAGTAGTAATATAATGCTAGTTTGGTAAAATTGTTTTCGATTTTTCAGTCCCAAACATGGTCAAATGTCAGCAAGAAGAAAGAAATTTAAATGGCCTGATACTTTCCTAATTGAGAGGTAGGTTTCTTGTGCATGATATTCCTTTCAAATATTTTGCCTGTTTTAAAGCACATCGATTTACAAATTTTACTTTCATGATTTGAGCATGCAAGTCTAAGTTACATGTTTTGCCTGTATTACTTTTATACTACTTCATCTTTATCACCTTTATCTCTTTTTAATTTTCATCTTTTATTCCTTTCTTTTATTTTATGTTGCTGTGTGAATTTCAGATGTGAAGTGCATGTGAATCAACAGGCATCATTTTTTGGAAATATATGTCTCCATGCAGCAGAGGTATTTTTGAGATGCTGATAGTTGTTCAGCTAGTCAAGAATTTTCTTGCCTTTTATGCAGTTCAAAAGCTCATTTCTGTTGTCACAAGAACTTGCCACAAGATCCTATCTTCAGTTGACTGAGTCTAGTCCACACCCTAATTCTTTATTATCCAACTTAATATTAACCTCCTATCTATGTTGAGGTCTCCCAAGTGATATCATCTCTTTCATATTTTCAACAGAATTCTGTATGAATATATACTATCTAATTATTTATTTGTATTTGATTAAAATCTGTACAGTAGTGGGAGGCGTGAAACACCTGAGTCAATTGAAGCCAAGTTACATTTACTGAAACCTCAGCACCAAGCTAAGCTGAATAAAATTGCTGCAGGATCTGAAAGTGAAGAGAACGGCAATGGTACTGGCATTTCCGCCACACTGGGAACAACATTTGCACCTCTGACAAGCCAATACCCAAATTTGTCAATGGATGAAAGTGGTCTGAATGACACATCTAATGCGCTGCATATTCCTGTTCTTGATCCATCTTTGGAAGACATCCCTCTTTTGTCTCGTAAGCACATAAATTATTATAATATATATGTTTAACAAAATTATATTATAATATAATGAAACCACTAAAACTAAGAATGTATGAAAAAACATGTTTTGACTTTACTCATACTCTGTATACATACTGAAAAAAAGATATTTGTGAATCTAACAATCTGTTAACTATTACGCCCTCAAGGGCCTGATTTGCAGCTTGATAACCAAGTGTTACCAGTAGTTCCATCTGGAGTTGTGACCAACAAGTTGGAACGCATTGCCCTTGAATGTCAAAGTCCTGAATACCAAGCTCCATGTAAGCCAGGACAGAAGTGGCAGTGTATCACAGAAGGAAGCAGGTAACTGATCCTGAAATATGAAGCCATATATGTCAGATGATCAAAGAAAGCAGTTGCAGCATAAGTAATATTATTTGCAGGTGGCGCAAACATAAATGTAAGTTCCAGGGCACAATTTACCCACGAGGAGGAAGTAATGGAAGAAAAAAATGTGCTTGCTTCACTCCTTCTGGTTTCTTTTACACAAGACTCGAACCAAATGAAAGAAGAATGCAACGGCAATTTCTTAGGTATGCACAGCCAATTATACTTTCCTCTTGAAGAGTGTTTCTTAATAATTTCAGTCCTGATATTTAAAATATATTAGTTAATTTAACAAATTAAAAATGCCCAAAATTGGTTTTTTAAGACCATGTTTTCTTGCAAAGCAGCTGTATCAAATGCATACATGTTGCTGAAAGTCCAACGAAAGAAACTGCCAACTTTGTGGAAGGCCAAGAAAGTTACTTCTGGAACTGACAGACATATTAATGAAACATCATGGCTATATTGTGTGTAATATGACATAAAAACAGGGAAATACTGCATCAGGTATATAAAGTGCCCATGGATGTTTCTGTTGGATTGACATATATGTAGCATATACAGACTGTATGCTAGAAACTTCTGGAATGCCCCTCATGTAACATCAGATAAATATAATTATAACGTGACCACCATAAAAATGCAGACAAGGAATGTGTCCTTCTTCCTCTGTCAGGTTAAACTTCTCCTGAGGATTGTTAAACTCTTACTATTGCAGGGGGCATGTAAACAAGGACATTAAAGACTACCGTCCGAAGTTCCTTCGAACGGTTCAGGCAAAACCATCTACAGCAGACTTCAATTTAACAGACTTTCTGAGGCAGGCTTCAAGTACTGTGGACTCAGCAACAATGGCAGACCTAATTGATCGCTATAACAGTGAACAAGTACGTAAGGCAAACAGGAGGGGAAAACGTGACACACTGGAACATGTCACTGACTCCATAATGAAAGACATTCAAAAGGACATTGAGAAGGAACTGCATGGTTTACAGGTGGGTAATAGTTAATTATACTGAAATAAGAAGACTCTTTGTTTGCTATGACATTTGCTAGTATTCATCATAAAATTTGATAATATCCTTGAGTAATTTTTACATACATACATACATCTTTATTACATTCCATGGATCCATAAGTTAGTCAGATGGCAATAGGATGTAGAATAAGTCATAATAATACAATACATGTTATACAAATACAAGTCATATAAATGTCACAAAATACAAACAAAGGATAAATTACGACTTACTTGTAGACATTAGGAATTCATCGACAGAGTAAAAGGAGTGTGTAATTAAGTATCTTTTCAATGCTGTTTTAAATTGTGCCTTTTTATTTACAAGACTTGAGAGATCAGATGGTAGACTGTTGAAAATTTTAATCCCTGCATAATATGCACTCTTCTGAAAACATGAAAGGTTGGCAATTGGTCTATGAAGCTGATTTTTATTCCTTGTGTTGACACGGTGTATAGCAGAATTAGTTTGAAAATGTTCTTGGTTATTTACAATAAAGTTCATTAATGAGAATATGTATTCACATGGAAGAGCTAAGATTTCTAATCTCTTAAACAGACTTCTACATGAATTCCTAGGTTTTACACCAGCCAATAATCTAACAATTTTCTTTTGTAAAGTGAATATCTTTTTGATGTTTGATGAATTTCCCCCAAAAATTATTCCATATTTCATTAAAGAGTGAAAATAGGCAAAATATACTGATCAGAGTGTGTCAGTCTTACTGACATGCAACAGAGATCTAACTGCGTAACATGCGCCACTTAACTTAGGTATCAGTTTATCAATATGATTAGTCCAATTTAGGTGATTATCAATTTGCAAACCCAAGAATTTTGTGTTTATTGACTCTTGTATATACTTCCCATTATAACCAATACTTAAAGCACATTGTGGTGAGTTACTTCTTCTTTTCTTGGATTTATAAATGGTTGCCTCCAGAGGTAGTGTTAGTCCTGTGTGTGTGTGGGGGTTCCTGACCACACCAAAATTTAACATATGCCTTTATCAAATTAGACCACTTCATAAATGTGGGATTTCTCACACTGGAAAATAGAATGCTCAAAAGTTTCTCTTTCTATTGGCATGTCAGATGTTACCATCCTTTGCACCATTCTAGTCTGGTGATTTTTTGTAATGTGTTAAGGAATTATGAATAACCTTGTATTTCAAACTCCTGGTCAAGTCTCAGGTACAAAACTACAAAACTCTCAAACCTCACAAACCTACTTAGTAGCTTAATCCACAGCAGAGACAGAGCTCTTTGCAAAGTATTTTAGATGACAGTGTGTTGACTGTAAGTCATCAAATTTCCAGAATGTAAACATTTTTGCAGTATCTTATTCCTGCACATATACATAAGTAGATATATAAATAAGTAAATAATGAGTAAATAAATATGTACGAGGTGCGATCGGAAAGTTTCAAGACTGTGTCAATAGAGGGCGAACCGGATGTAGTACGAGCTTCTGCCGCTAGGGGGTGCGGCCTACATTCATAGTGAATCAGTGTGCCAGCCGGCATCATCGAATTAGCATTTGTTTCTTAGTTACGGGCGTTTTGGTAGTGCATTACACCGACCCTCCTGCGATTTCGGAATGGCGGATTTTCATGAACAAATCAAATTTTGCCAAAGACTCGCCAAAACCGCTACGGAAACCTATGAAATGCTAAAGCAAACATTTGGGGAGTCCGCAAACTTTTGTGTGGCATTCACGTTTTAAAAATGGCCGAACCTCTGGCG